CCTAACCCTTCCTCATTCTCTTGCTTCCTCTCTCACCATGTGATTTCTTCTGCATGTAGCTCACTGTTCTTGGAGTCAGTCCTGCCATGTGATGTCATCTGCCATATTGTGATGTAGCCTGGGAACCCTTGACAGGTGCCAGGGCCATGCTATTTGGACTTTTTAGCCATCAGAATCAGGGGGTAAATAAGCTTCTTTTCTTATAAAGTACATCGACTCAGGTATTGTGATAGCAACTCAAAATTAACAAAGAGAGAATTGATACTGAGGAGTGGGGTTGTTGCTTTAACAATAACTGAAAATGTGAAAATAGCTTAGAATTCTGCGCATGGAATGTTATAAGTTATTCTGGTGAAGGTTCAGAAGACAAGTAGCCTTAGGAAAAGCTAGAACTTCCTGGAGATTGCTTAAGTGGTCATGGCCAGAATGCTGATAGAAATGTCAACAGTAAAGATGATTCTGAGAAGGTCTGAAATGGAAATGAAAAATATTCTACTGTAAGTTGGAGTAAAAGCCATCCTTGTAAACTTCAAAGAATGTGGATGTATTATATCAATGCGCTAGAGCTTTGCTGATGGCTAAACTTAAGAGATAACACAGGTATGATGATGTGAGGGGGAAGAAAAAAAAGAGAGAAATGTGTCACATTAGATTGGGTAGAGAGAGGTGATGGGAGGGGAGGGGAGGGGAAGGGGTGATAGGAAGGGCAGAAGAATAAAATAAACACTAGTACTGCTGTATGTATGTATGTGGCCGTATAACCAATGAGATCCTGCAACCTGTACACTTGGAAAAATGAGAATTCATACCCCATTTGATTCAAATGTATGATATGTCAAGATCATTATATTGTCATGAGCAACTAATAAAATCTTTATATTTTGAAAACAAAAAGAGATAACACAGGGTATCTGACAAAATACATTTGGTGTCCTGTATGTACTACTGCTCATATCCAATGAGATTTAATGTGAGATCTGAGGACAAAGGAAAGTACAGTGAAAATTTTGCAGCCTGGGAATGAGCAAAAATTGACATGTAAGGGTGCAGCAATGCAACTGCTTGCTAAAGAGATTAGCATGGATAAAGGGGTGCCAGGTACTGTGCATTAGGACAGTGGGAAAAAAGCCTTAGAGGCATTATTAGAAATATATGAGGTAACCCCTCCCAGACCAGAGAACAAGGAAGGCAGAATGGTTTGCAGGAATGCCCTGGGATGCTTTCCATGTACCCCCTGCCCAGGGTCACTTGGAAATTCTGCTCCTGGAACTCTGCTGCAGCACTTGTCTGCCCCAGCAGTAGCTCAAAAGTCTCAGGTATGGCTCATACTGACACTCTAGACATAACAGGCTGCAAGCTAAATAAACTTTTATGCTAATTCTGCAGGCAAACAAAATATAATAGCTGTAGGGTTACAGGGGCTCCCACCAAGATTTCAAAGAAAAGCATGGGCACCCAGGGAGAAATCCTTAGCATAATTCTAGTGAAACTGAGAGAGCAGAACCATTACCCTCAGGACCACAAGGGAAAGCCACTGACAACATAGAACCGCAGCATGGTAAAAACAAAGGCACCCAACTCCAAACCATAAAAGCAGCCACATGGGCTTGAGATCAGCAAAGCCACATGTGCAGGGCTGCCGAAGACCCTAGGAGTTTACCCCGGCCCCAATGTACACAGGATAATAGACTTGAGAGTCAAAAGAAATTATTCTCTAGTTTTAAGATCTAATCTCTGCCCTGTTTGGTTTCAGACTTGTGTGGGACATATGAACTGACTGTAGTTGATTATTACTCTCTTGGAATAGAAATGTTTAATGCTTGATCCACCATTGAATCTTGCGAGTATGTAACCTGAAAGCAAGATTTTGATTTTACAGTCTCACAGCTGGAAGACATTTTCCTTGAGTCTCAGATGAGATCTTGGACTTTAAAGCTGGTGCTGGAATGAGTTTTCTTTTACTGTATAGTATATGCATTTTGCATTATGAGGACGTAAACTTTGGGGACAAGGGTGGAATACTATGATTAAGATATGGTTTGTCTCCCAAAGGTTCATGTATTGGAGGCTTGGTCTCCAATTTAACAGTAGTGCTGGGACCTTTAAAAGAGATAATTAGGGCCTTACCGTACTGAAAGGATTAATGCTGGTGTCTTAGAGTAGGTTAGTTTCTGAAAGTAGTTTTCATCAAAGAATGAGACTCAACCCCCTCCATATTCTCTTGCTTCCATTTTTTTTGCCAAGTGATTTCCTCTTCATGAAGCTCACTGCTCTCCCATTAACTCCTAACATTCATAATGTTGTAATATAGCCAGAGCCCTCAGCAAACACTGGTGCCATGCTGTTTAGACTTTCCAGCTTCCAGGATTACACCAAACCTTTTTTTTTATTGGTTGTTCAAAACATTACAAAGCTCTTGACATATCATATTTCATACATTAGATTCAAGTTGGTTATGAACTCCCAATTTTACCCCAAATACAGATTGCAGAATCACATCAGTTACACATCCACATTTTTACATAATGCCATATTAGTAACTGTTGTATTCTGCTACCTTTCCTATCCTCTACTATCCCCCCTCCACTCCCCTCCCATCTTCTCTCTCTACCCCATCTACTGTAATTCATTTCTCTCCTTGATTATTTTCCCATTCCCCTCACAACCTCTTATATGTAATTTTGTATAACAATGAGGGTCTCCCTCCATTACCATGTAATTTCCCTTTTCTCTCCCTTTCTCTCCCACCTCATGTCTCTGTTTAATGTTAATCTTTTCTTCCTGCTCTTCCTCCCTGCTCTGTTCTTAGTTGCTCTCATTATATCAAAGAAGACATTTGATATTTGTTTTTTAGGGATTGGCTAGCTTCACTAAGCATAATCTGCTCTAGTGCCATCCATTTCCCTGCAAATTCCATGATTTTGTCATTTTTTAGTGCTGCGTAATACTCCATGGTGTATAAATGCCACATTTTTTTAATCCATTCATCTATTGAAGGGCATCTGGGTTGGTTCCACAGTCTAGCAATTGTGAATTGTGCTGCTATGAACATCGATGTGGCAGTATCCCTGTAGTACGCTCTTTTAAGGTCTTCAGGGAATAGTCCGAGAAGGGCAATAGCTGGGTCAAATGGTGGTTCCATTCCTAGCTTTCCCAGGAATCTCCATACTGCTTTCCAAATTGGCCGCACCAGTTTGCAGTCCCACCAGCAATGTGCAAGAGTACCCTTTTCCCCACATCCTCGCCAGCACTTGTTGTTGTTTGACTTCAGAATGGCTGCCAATCTTACTGGAGTGAGATGGTATCTTAGGGTGGTTTTGATTTGCATTTCTCTGACTGCTAGAGATGGTGAGCATTTTTTCATGTACTTGTTGATTGATTGTATGTCCTCCTCTGAGAAGTGTCTGTTCAGGTCCTTGGCCCATTTGTTGATTGGGTTGTTTGTTATATTATTGTCTAATTTTTGGAGTTCTTTGTATACTCTGGATATTAGGGCTCCATCTGAAGTGTGAGGAGTAAAGATTTGTTCCCAGGATGTAGGCTCCCTATTTACCTCTCTTATTGTTTCTTTAGCTGAGAAAAAACTTTTTAGTTTAAGTAAGTCCCATTTGTTGATTCTTGTTATTAACTCTTGTGCTATGGGTGTCCTATTAAGGAATTTGGAGCCCGACCCAAGATCGGAGCCAACTTTTTCTTCCATCAGACGCAGAGTCTCTGATTTAATATCTAGCTCCTTGATCCACTTTGAGTTAACTTTTGTGCATGGCGAGAGGAGGGGATTCAGTTTCATTTTGTTGCATATGGACTTTCCAGTTTTCCCAGCACCATTTGTTGAAGATGATATCCTTCCTCCATTGCATGCTTTTAGCTCCTTTATCAAATATAAGATAGTTGTATCTTTGTGGATTAGTCTCTGTGTCCTCTAGTCTGTACCATTGGTCCACCCGCCTGTTTTGGTACCAGTACCATGCTGTTTTTGTTACTATTGCTCTGTAATATAGTTTGAAATCTGGTATTGCTATACCGCCTGATTCACACTTCCTGCTTAGAATTGCTTTTGCTATTCTGGGTCTTTTATTCTTCCATATGAATTTCATGATTGCTTTATCTATTTCTACAAGAAATGCCGTTGGGATTTTGATTGGGATTGCATTAAACCTATAAAGAACTTTTGGTAATATCGCCATTTTGATGATGTTAGTTCTGCCTATCCATGAACAGGGTATATTTTTCCATCTTCTAAGATCTTCTTCTACTTCTCTTTTTAGGGTTCTGTAGTTTTCATTGTATAAATCTTTCACCTCTTTTGTTAGGTTGATTCCCAAGTATTTTATTTTTTTTTGAGGATATTGTGAATGGAGTGTTTTTCCTCATTTCCGTTTCAGAAGTTTTGTCGCTGATATACATAAATGCCTTTGATTTATGCGTGTTGATTTTATATCCTGCCACTTTGCTGAATTCATTTATTAGTTCTAGTAGTTTTTTTGTAGACCCTTTTGGGTCTTCTAGGTATAGAATCATGTCATATGCAAATAGTGATAATTTAAGTTCTTCTTTTCCTATTTTTATGCCTTTAATTTCTTTCATCTGTCTAATTGCTCTGGCCAGTGTTTCGAGAACTATATTGAATAGAAGTGGTGATAGAGGGCATCCCTGTCTTGTTCCAGATTTTAGAGGGATAACAGGAACTTACCTCGATGTTGTAAAAGCTATCTATGCTAAGCCTCAGGCTAGCATCATTCTGAATGGAGAAAAATTGAAGGCATTCCCTCTAAAAATCTGCAAGACCGCCGGCAATCAGTGATTCTACTCAAGTAAGCTTTGCAATATGGAACCAGTTAGTTAGCAAAGAACAGTTAAATCCTAACTAGATGGTCTCATTCTTGGATTTGGTATTCTGCTTATGATGCAAACTGTTTTAATTGCTTCAAATTCATTCTGTTGGCAAGGGGGTTCTGATCCTGAAGTTTTGGAATGGTTGAACACATGACCCAGACAGATAAGATCCAATGGAGTTTATTAGTTACACATACTCTTAAACCAGCCTGAGGAAGATACAACATGCCATGAAGATACACACAAGGGTCCCACTTTGGAACAGAATAAAGAAGGAGTATAAAATAAAGTATTTTCTTTGTAATGTCAAAGGGTACACTGGCCCTTAGCTGCTGTGGGATATCATGGGTTTGTATGAATAACTGTGGGTTGGCAAGGAAGTAAAATTTCTACTGAGGGATTAACAGAAACTGGGCCCCTTGATAAAAACAGTTGTCTGGCTATGGGATGTTACTGTGAGGGCAGAGTATGGAGGGAAACTTATGACTTGGCTATTCAAGGTTATCTCAGATTCAGATGTCAAAATGAACTGATAACATTGGGCCATAATTTCAGGCCAGCTAATACAATTTAAATATGGTGACTGTAGTTTCAGTGTCTAAACAGACTGACAAAAGACTTAATATAAAAAAGATGCTCTGAAGGGAGGTGTGGAACTTAAAATACTTCTCAAAATATAATTCTCAAAAAACCGTAAGGCTTAGAAAAACAAAGGGGTATAATTGGAAATAGGCTTAGTGGTTGTCAACCTGAGAATTCTGAGACTGTGTTCCCTTACTCATGCCTCTCACCACACTACAGGGAAAAACTAGCAATGTTTGTTTTTATATTGCAAAATATGTAAGCATCTTTATATAGATTCCATCTATATTATATTGCTATACATAAGCAGATTTGCTTGGTTATTTATTTATTTAAGACACATCATTTTTTAGAGCAGTTTTAGGATGCTAGAAACATTGAGCAAAAAATAGAGAAATCCCATATAATCCTTCATCCCTCCCCACAACTGCAACTATTATTAACATCTGCATAAGTATAGTATATTTGTTACAATTGATGAGCCCATACTGATACTACATTTTAGGGTGAGAAAAGATGTTAGCTAATATAACTATTAATTAACATCCATGACTTACATTTGGTTAATTCTCTGTGGATTAGGTTCTATAGGTTTTAATAAATGTAAACTGATGTATAACCACCGTTGTAAGTATCCTACAGAATATTTTCAAAGCCCTAAAAATACACCTCTCCGTCTACTCATCCCTCCTTCAAAATCTCTGTATCTTTTTTTTTCCTTTACCTATCTATTTCTATTCACCACACCTTTCAGAAGGATGCTGAAAAACAGTAGCGAGAGTGGGCATCCTTACCTTGTTCCTGATCTTAACCAGAAAGCACCTATATTTAAGACATTAAATATAAGGTTAGCTGTAGGGCCCTTTGAAGTAATTATTTACCACACTGATGAAGTTTCTTCTATTCCTAGTTTACTGAGATGTTTTAACATGAATGGATATTGGATTTTATGAGATGCTTTTTCTCTAACTATTGATTGTGATCACAGTTCATCTTTGGCCCACTGATATAAGTTACATTGATCACTGAATGTTGAACCTGCCTCACTGGTCATGGTATACAATTCTTTTTATATATTGTTGAATTTGATTAATCAATATTTTGATGAGAACTTCTGCATCTACATTTGTGACCAATATTGGTCTGTAGTTCCCCTTTCCTTTCATATATGGTTTGGCTATTAGTGTAATGCTGGCCACATGTATTGGGTTAGGAAACATCCCATCTGTTGTTAAATGCTGTAAAAAGCTGTTAAGATTGGTAGCATTTCTATCTTACATGTTTGGTATACTTTACCATTGGACCCATCCAGTCTTAGTACTGTCAGTGCCGAGAGGTTGTTAAGTATTGACTCACTTTCTTCAATATGCTTAATTTTTAAATGTATCCTCTCACAAAGTTTATCCCTTCATGAATTTGTTAGAATACAACTTTTTAAAGGAATTGGTCCATTTCAGCTAGGTTATTCAATTTATGGGCAAAGCTGACCATGATATTCCTTTATAATCCTCTGAATGTCCATGGGATGGCCTCTCTTTCGATTTCAGATATTAGCAATTGGCCTCTTCTCTTTAAAATTAGTTAACTAGGCTAGAAATTTATCAAGTGATTTGATGTTTTTCAAAGAATCATTTCTTGGTTTTATTGCTTTTCTTTCAATGTTACTTTTCTTTCCCGTTATACTGGATTTAATTTGTTCTTTTTCTAGTTTCAGAAGACAGAAGACTAGTTTTTGTGATTTGATAACCACTTACCATCTAATCCTTTATTGTATTTTTGGTCATTGCATCCTGTATTTTTTCTAAAAATTACAAGAAAAACGCGTATCATGAATGCTCCAAATATATTCACTGATGGGTCAAATAATGGTACAGCAGCAATAGTTACACCTGATCAAACTTTTACATTTTTAGTACCCAAACAATCAGCTCAAAAGGTAGAACTTAATGCAGTATTTAACAAGCTTTTGTGATATTTAAAGATTCTGTATTTAATTTATTTTCCGATAGTCAGTATATAGTTAATGCTATAGTATTCCTTGAAGGTGCTGGTAGGATTTGCCCTTCCTCTACTGTTTTCTCTTTGCTTTCCACTATACAAAGTCTAATCTGGGACAGAAAAGATCCATTCTTTATAGGACATATCAGGGCACATACAGGATTGCCTGGAGCCCTTAGTTTGGGCAAGGATTTAGCAGATAAAACTACACATGACATACATATTTTCTCTACACTAGAAGAAGCTACAAATTTTCATAAAAAGTTCCATGTCAATGCTAATACTTTACAAAAGCATTTTAAAATAACTAAGAAACAAGCTAGACAAATAATAAAACAATGTCAAAATTTTGTGACCTTTTTACCACAAGTTAATTCTAGAGGAGTCAACCCTAGAGGACTGATACCTAACCATATTTGGCAGATGGATGTCACACACTTGCCAGAATTTGGAAAATTAAAATATTTGCATGTTACAGTTGATACTTCTTCCGGATTTTTGATGGGTTCCCTTCATGCCGGAGAAAAAAATAAAGATATTATAGCTTACAAAATGTTGCCACTGTGGGCATTTCAAAACAGTTAAAAACAGATAATGCCCCTGGCATTATCTACCTCTTTTAAACAATTTTGCTCATCATTTGGCATTACTCATATAACAGGAATCCCATACAATCTACAGGGACAAGGCACAGTTGAAAGAGCTCATCAAACTATTAAAATGTACTTATTAAAGCAAAAAGAAGGAATTGGGAAGGGGTATATATTCCCCAAAGATAAACTTAAAATAACGCTTTTTACTCTAAACTTTTTAAATTTGGATTCATCAGGGCTTAGTGCTGCGGAAAGGCATGTGTCCAAAAAATGTACATAAGCCCAAGGTACTTTGGAAGGATATTCTAACAGGACAATGGAAAGGTCCTGACCCAATAATTTTCTGGAGTCGGGGGTCTGTTTGTGTGTTTCCACAGGGAGAACAGCAGCCGATTTGGATTCCAGAGAGATTAACTAAGGTCCTGACCCAGTGATTGTCTGGAGTCAGGGGTCTGTTTGCGTGTTTCCACAGGGAGAACAGCAGCTGATATGGATTCCAGAAAAGCGATTTCTACAGACCAAAAAGAAGATGATTTGGCTCAAATCCATAACAGCTTATATCCAGAACTCCAGTTTGGCTATCCTTACATCTACAACAGAACCAGGATGCTTTTTTCAATATCTATTTTATTATTGCCCTTTTCCACATCATGAAGTTCTATTTTGTTTTTTGAGCTCATACAGACCTAGGTTAATGTTTTGCTGATCAGTTCTATTTTTTGACTATAGAGTTTTTAAACATTGCAATGGAGATTTCACCTGTAAAAAGTTATAAGGCCTTTACTATTATGTTATGTGTTGTATGTATTATATTATGTGTGCACACTTGTGTTTTGTGTTGTATGTTTGTATGTACGTATGTCCATATATCATACATGATGAGCGCTCATGAAAAAATGGATCCAAAATTTTTTTTTTATTCATGTGATTTAAATGGTTTAATTTAAATTGGGTAAACAGCTGTTGAGGATTGTTTAATATGTGAACAAAAAAGGAGGTTAACAGATCTGTTTACTTTCACCTTTCCTTTTCATTATATTTAATAATTCTGTTCAAGATAATGTAAATTGTTCAGAAAATTGTTTTCTTTTAGTGCCTTCTGGAATGTTACATAATTTTTTCTTTAGCCATTATTGCCAGAATTCCTATCTTCATCCCAGTGCCGGTGAAGACAAAGATAAAACCAATCTACAGCTTCTGCAATAGCTATCACTGAACTGCTTGCAGAACTTGCCTGGATTATGTATCACTTGTATGCATTGTGAACTCACTTGTATGCATTGTGAACCATCTGTTGGTGCAGCGACTTGTGGTAGTGTTGGGGTATTTTTGCTGATGGCGTCATCAGTGGTATAATTTTTCCAAAAGGAGCCATCAATTGGCTTGGTGTATCTTCCTCCCTTCTGCTTGTGATGGTCATTCAGCTAAAATTTGGGGGCCAACAGAGGTGAGGCAAAGAACCTCACCCCACCCCCTCCCGCTGGTACAAAGACCTATCCACAGGTGTGGCTGTATGCTGGACCGGTAGTCAATGACGGGTAAGATCCAATTGCAATGGTACCAACCTAAGACAGGAGGCTGACACCTTGAGGTCAGCTCATCCGATGACGGGTAAGGACCATATGTAGTATTGGACAACCTAAGGCAGGCACAGTCCCTAAGCCACATGCTTGTTGTTTAAACAGAGAGGGGGAGATGTTGAGAGCCACAGCCGACGGGGCCCCAGCAAACTTCCAGCTGCCAGCTGATGATTGGCTCACAGCGGCCCCAGCAAACTTCCAGCTGCCAGCTGATTGGCTCCTCTACGGTGATGCTCATTGGGCTGTTTCCCTGCCCTTTCAGACCATGGAGCTGCTCATTGGGGGACTTTTTTTGGCTCCGCCCACGAGACCCAGCCAATCGGCCTCAAGAGCAGGAGGAGTGGGGGGGTTGAGAGGCTTGTGGGAAGCCGGTGGTGGCAGTTGGGCTCTGAGGGAATTCCTGAAGACCTTGTGTGGTGTGGCATGTGTGTTCTAAAAATAAAGTTCATTTCTGCTTGATAAGTGGCTCCTGAATTGTACCCAGCCAGACTGCGGCAATGTGTACTTTAGGATTATTAGACTGTAATATAACTTTTATATTATAATAAGTAATATATGACCTTTACATTGCCAATAAAAAACCCCACTCTAGCTCCATTCAGGCCCTGTTCCAGCTGCAACCCTCCTCTTCATACTGTCAGAAGTCTCTGAAGGCCCAGATTCCTACCTGTATATATCAGATTTCTGAATCTACAGCCCAACAAGCCCTAAGTGGCATCTAGTGTACATGTGTGGGCCTCTTTTATGGCCCCTATCTTGCTGGGCAGCTGTTTACAGAAGGTTTGGACAAGAGTTTACATACTTATACCAGGGCACTCCATGGCATGGGATGAAATTTAGGTGAGAAAAGAAAGGGAATGATATGGAGTAGGGCCTAGAGCTCTTCATGCATGGAATCGTTTGTTAGCACTTTATTTTGATCTGTAGTTTTTGAATGGTTAGACATTAGCTATGTGGGCATTCATTTAAACTGTTATTCTGGTTTTATAAACATTGAACATGGACCTGATGTAACAAGCACTAAGGAAAGGATACCTACTTCCTTTTCAAAATTACATTAAGTTCCATTATGCATATGAAACACATACATACCTTATATACCTTAACACTTAGACACATATTAAGTCTATAAACTTTAGGAACACTTCTCACATGTGTTTAACCCTGTTGCCCAGATTACTCAATGATCTATACTTTCAAAAGATTAATATTCAATGGTTGCAGAAGGAGAGTATTTTTAACAAGAGGAAACTTCTTGAGATTAAATCCTGATGCCTAATCCTGCATAATCCTGATGCCATACAGACCCCAGATTCCTTTTCAGTTTTGTAACCTAACGTTAAATCTTAATAGAACTACATAGAAAACACAGGGTACATGTAAAAACTGGCAAAATCTGAATAAAGTCTATATATGATTAGCATACCAATCTCTTGTATTATAGAACATACAGTGGTTATATAACATATCATCATTACAGTAAGGCTGATTAAAAGCACAAAGGAATTCTCTCTATACTCTTACTGAATCTTCTTGTGAATATACATTTTTTAGTACTTAAAATATGCTTTTTAAAGTTTTATATTCTGCAACATATAGGCATAAATTACTTTTCTAAAGACAATTAAGGTATCAAACTCAAAATACAACTTGTAGTACTATGTTACTTCTAAGTAAAATTTCATTTTATTTTTCAGATTCATAAATTTCTCAATATAAATTCTGACATAATTTAGTTTGTATTTTACCTAAAAATTTTTCAAAATTCAAAAGAATCTATGAGTTTTTGTATAAGCATTACCTTAGGATGTCATTTCTTAACAAAGGCCATCCTAAATTTGTTGAATTTATCCTCCATCATTACTCTGGAATAAAGTAAAGCCAATTTGTGGATAAAGGTTACTATAATTTAGGATGTCAACAGAGCTTTTTGCAGTTTTGATATTTTGTATTGTCAACTGATTTGTGGCTAAATATTTCAAATATTTATTTTATCTCATAAGATTTTTCTCCTGTGTGTGTCCTCTGATGTACAATGAGGTTTGACTTTTGAGAGAAGGTTTTCCCACATACCTTACATTCATAGGGCTTCTCCCCAGTATGTGATCTCTGATGTTTAGCAAGGTCTGATTTACGATAAAATATTTTTCCACATTCATTACACTGACAAGATTTCTCCCCTGTATGAGCCCTGTGATGTACTGTAAGGGATGATTTGTGACTAAAGGATTTCCCACATTCATTACATTCATAGGGCTTCTCTCCTGTGTGTTTTCTTTGATGTAAAATAAGTCCTGACTTCACGCAGAAAGACTTCCCACATTCATTACATTTATAGGGCTTTTCTTCTGTATGGGTTCTCTGGTGTACAATTAGAGCTGACTTATGGCAGAAAGCTTTCCCACATGCAGTACATTTATAGGGCTTCTCCCCTAAGTGAATTCTCTGATGCTGAGTGAGCTGTGACTTCTGGCAAAACGTTTTTCCACATTCACTGCATTCATAGGGTTTCTCCCCTGTATGTGTTCTATTATGTTTAGTTAGGTATGATTTATTGTAAAAAATTTTCCCACATTCATGACATTCATACGGTTTCTCTCCCGTATGTATTCTATAATGTTGAGAAAGGGTTGACTTATGGCTGAAGAATTTGCCACATTCAGGACATGCAAAGGGTTTCTCTCCTGTGTGAGTTCTCTGATGTACTGTGAGGTCTGACTTTAAGCAGAAGTTTTTCCCACATTCATAACATTCAAAAGGTTTCAATCCTGTATGAATTATCTGATGCCTCGTAAGTACTGATTTATGATAGAAAGTTTTCCCACAAGCATTACATGCATAGGGTTTATCCCCTATATGCGTTCTCTGATGTTGAGTAAGATGTGACTTTTGACAAAAGGATTTCCCACATTCCAGGCATTCAAAGGGTTTCTCGCCTGTGTGAGTTCTTTGATGTACTATAAGATGTGAATTCATACAAAAGGACTTCCCACATTCATAACATTCATAAGGTTTCAGCCCCGTATGTGTTCTCTGATGTTTAGTGAGGTCTGACTTCTGGTAAAAAGTCTTCCCACATGCAGTACACTGATAGGGTTTTTCCCCTGTATGCGTTCTCTGGTGTAGTGTGAGGGCCGATTTGTGACTAAAGGCTTTCCCACATTCATTGCATTCATAGGGTTTCTCTCCAGTGTGAGATCTCTGATGTTTAGTGAGGTTTGATTTTTCCCAGAAAGTTTTTCCACATTCATTACACTGAAAGTGTTTGTCTTCTGTATGTACCCTCCGATGTCGAGTGAGGTGTGACTTCTCCCAAAATGCTTTCCCACATTCATTACATTCAAAGTCTTTCTCTCCTTTATCAGTTTTCTGAAGTTGTGAGAGACATAATTTCCTCCTGAAGTTATTCCCATTTTGATTATATTCATCACAGTGTTTTACAGGTAGCCCATCATATTTGAAAGAGGTTAGCTTCCTACAGGATTTCTCATAATCACTAAATCCATAGTGATTCTCCTTTGAAGTAGATATGTGAGGGAACAAGAGAGATGAATTACCACAAAAAATTCTCCCATATTCACTATATTCACAGTAATTCTCTTCCATGTTCTCTCTCTTGTATGTGTTGAATATTGTCTTTTCAAGGAAGGTTTCCTGATATATATTATACTCAGAAGTTTGCTCTAAGGTTTGAATCTTCTCTCCCTTGTAATGGCTGAAAGTACTCCTATTTCTAAAAAATTCAATTTTCTCTCTAGTATGAGTTTTCTCATGTTTAATTTTGAGTAGCAATTTCCCACAGGCATTAAGTTCATCAGGCTTTTTTCTTAAGTACTTTTTCCTACTAATAATCAATTTGGAAATATTGTTGAAACTTCTTCCTTCTGAGTCACACTGACAGAGTATTTTCTTGGAAGGAAAAGAATCTATGTCCAAGTCAAATGGCCTTCCTATTATATTACCTTGTTCCTTCATCAGCATTTTGTTACTGATGAATACAACTTTCCACAAATCTTCTTGGCTCTGCTCCTTCAGATAATCAGCTTTCCAAAGTTCTAGAAATAAGGAAAATTAATCTTACTTACCACTTAAATTCCAATAATACATTTTTGATGGAACAAGACCTCAAGATCTCTATATAAATGTTTTATGTTAATGCTGATTGTGGATTTTTTCCCTATTTCCAGGGATTGATATAACTGCAATGCATTTTTTCTTCTATTACATGGCTTTGTGGTGAAAAAAGTAAACAAAAGTTCTGGTAAAGCAGAAGAAGGGAAAAGAATCTGGCTATTTGAATACATACATTTGGTTTCCAATGTATGAATAATAATCTGAATCTCTGCATGCATTCTCTAAAACACATATATGACACAAGGAGAGCCAACAGCATGATTTACCTATATCATAGCTATAACAGCATGATTTTAGCATAACTAGGAGACAGAAAATGCTAGTTCCTTCAACTCACCACGAAGAAAGGAAATAAAATTTCAAAAACAGAATAATTGAGAGCCCACATATATGAAGAAAATCACAAGTAAAGATGGACAGAGAACCCAGAAGTGATGAATCATAATTACTCCCAGAAAGGTAAAGTTCTTCTGTGAGTGGGAAAATAATAAGAAAATGTCTGAGTCCAGGTGGATCAGAGCTTCAACTACTAGGAAATCCAAGAGAATGAACATGGAGTGGATAAAAAGTAAAGAGGCAAGGGTTTATTAAAGTCAAGAATAAAACTTTATGAAGGACAAAGTGATTAGAGAAATTACCACCCAAATTACAAGAAACCTGTTATGGACTAAATTATGGTGACCTACAATGTAACTGGTTATCTTTACTTCCTTAAAGATAGGACCTTTAAGGAAGTAATCAAGGTTATATGAATGAGGTCATAAAGATGGTGCCCTAACCTGATGGTGCTGGTGACCAAGACAAGGAAAGCCTTCAGTGCACATGCACTCTCTTTCTCTGTCTCTCTCACACACTCCATCTACCACACAGAGAAAAGCGTACAAGAAGACACACCAAGATGATGACATCTGTGCACCAAGGAAAGGTAACTCCTCAGAAAGCAATTCTGATGGCACCTTCATATTGGGGAAACCTCTACAGTTGTGAGAAAATAAAAATAGATTAAGATACCTAATCTGTGGTATAATCAAATAATAACCCAAGAAGATTAATGCAGACACCAAGGAAAAAAAAGATTGAAATTTTAATAAATAATATTGAAAAAGAGCTTGAATGGAGAGGAAAAAGAGAAGTATTATCAAAATAAGTCTAAAGAAAGAAAACTGGATCAAAAAAATAGGCCAGGATGAATAAGATAGTTTGCAACTAAATATATACATAGGAGTCCCTAAAGAGGAAAAAACACAATACACCAAATATTTGAAATTTTCAATCTAAGAAAACTTCCTAGAAATAAGACTTGATCCACATTCTCAAAAAAAACTTTTTGTGATAATTCCTCACATATCTACCTCAGAGGCGAATCACAGTAGATTTAAGTATTTATGAGAAATCCTGTGGGATGCTAACCTCTTTCTAACATAAATGGGCTACTGGTAAATACTGTGGACATAACGAATGTGGGAATAATATTGGGAGGAAGTTATGTCTCTTATAACTTCAGAAAAAGGAGAAAAACACTTTGAAATGTAATGAATATGGGAAAGTTTTTTGGGGAGAGGTCTCACCTTGCTTAACATCAAGAGGGTACACACAGGAGATAAATGCTTTTAGTATAATGAATGTGGAAAAACTTTCTGGGAAAAATCATTCATTGATTCATATATTTTTTCATATATTTGTTTTAATTGGGCTACTTATTTTTATTTTTTGTTTTCATTTGTTACAACACCAACATCCTTCACATTTCTGAGTGTTTACTTGAATGACAAGCCTGGATCAAGAAAATGGAAATTCAACAGTAAGAAAAACAGGCAAAATCTCTGTTTTTATTATACCTTCATTCCATGCAGAATGAAAGATGAACAATATATGTAAATAGTATATTATATTCTTGAACTGCAACTTGATGTCTGACAGACTTGATGGAAGGATAAATTTAATCTACCTTCTCTTCCTTCTTGGTTGAACAGGGAAAACTATATTTTAACAGAAATCTTAAGGTAGTTTTATGGTTTCACTATAATTCAAAAAGTATCTATGATAGATTAACAATGACATACTTTTTAAAAAATGCAATGTTCTTCATAGTTTGATGCAAAAGTTATCCCAAATATAAAGTATAAAACTAAATCAAAAGGAATTTATTTATGTGACTGGGTTATGAGAGACTTACCCTAATAAGTGCATTAATCCCCTGACAGGGATTAATTGGGTGGTAACTGTAGTCAAGTAGGGTGTAGCTGGTGGAAGTAGGTCATGGGGGGTATGTGTCTTTGGGGTACATGTTTTGTCTTTGATGAGAGAACTCACTTTCTGCTCTCTGGTGGCCATGTTCTGAGTTGCCTTCCTCCTCCATGCCCTTCCACAATAATGTTCTGCTTTACCTCGGGGCCCAGAGCAATGAAGTTAACCATTTATGAACTGAGAACTCTATAATCGTGAGCCCCAAATAAACTTTTTCTCTAAAATTGTTCTTGTCAGGTCTTTTGGTCACAGCAGCAAAAAGGCTCAATAAAACACTATTCAACTATTCAAGATAATAAATTGTTTTCCAAATTGTTTTTCCAAAGTGGTTGAGCTACAACATTATATAAGAATTCCCACTACTACATATTATCAACAACAGTACAAAGTAGTAGTTAACTCTGATCTTATGATATTTCTCTATTAAAAATGCAATTTCACATCTTTTAGTGTTTTTATATCATTTGTATATACACTTGTGAAAAATGTTTGTTCACCCCTTTTAATCAGTTTTTGTTTTAATTGGGCTATTTATTTTTATTTTTTGGTTTCATTTGTTACAACACCAACATCCATCACATTTCTGAGTGTTTACTTCATGACAAGCCTGGATCAAGAAAAGGGAAATTCAACAGTAAGAAAAACAGGCAATCTCTGTTTTTATTGTACCTGCATTCCATGTGGAATGAAAGATGAACAATACATGTAAATAATACATTATATTCTTTAACTGTAATTCTGAAAACTCTCCTATCCTTTCCTAGTTGTAGTGTCAGATCTACCCGAGAATCAAATTCTAAATATAAGATAGTCCTCTTCTCGGCTGTCCCTGAACCAAACCAACAATGAATCAGTAAACTTGAAAGTGGAACAATTGAGAATAAATAGTCAAAAGAATAAAGACAAATAAGAATGAAGATAGTCTCAAAAAATTGAGGAATCTCATTAACTCCCCCAATATATTCATAATGGAAGTATCAGGAGTGAGGAAAAACTAAGCAGCAGAAAAAATATTCAAAGAAATGAAAGCCCCAAAACACACAAATCTGTTCACAAAGAAAAAATACTGTAGACATCAAGAATTATACACCTCATCACATACAAAGAATAAGAGTAACAACAGACTTTTCATCAGAGACAGTAGAGACCAGAAGAAGTAGGATGACAAACTCAAGTTTCCATTGTTAGTACATCAGCCATAAAAGACATACAAGTTTTTTAGGCTGAAAACAAGTGATTCCAAACACTCGTTCAAATGCATAAAATTTGTGGGTAAAGGCAATTAGGTAATTGCAAAAGAGAATAAAAAGGCAAAAATATTTTCCTTTCTTTTCCCAAACAATTTGACAAGCAAAAGTACAAATTCCATCTGTACATAACTGTATTACTGGGACTGCCTGTAGCATACAGAAATATATCTTTAACAAGAAAGCAAAGTGAGACAAAGGAACAAATCTATATTGGGGTAAGGAAATGACAACAGTTAATAAAAGAAATGAAGTAGAAGTAATGAATAATATAACAACTACAAATATATACTTGCTACCTTTTTCTGTCTCATCTTCTTCAAAAGACAACATATTATATAAAGTAACAATTATAACAACACATTGTTATGCTTAGGCTGATTCATAGTTGGGTAGGGAGAGGGAGTATGGGAGGAATAGATGAACTCTAGATAGGGCAGAAGGGTTGGAGGGGAAGGGAGTGGGGCATAGGGTTAGAAATGATGGTGGAATGTGATGGTCATTATTATCCAAAGTACATGAATGAAGATAGGAATTGGTATGAAATATACTTTGTATAAAACCAGAGATATGAAAATTTTTGCTCTATATGTGTAATAAGAATTGTAATACATTCATATATAAATTTAAAAAATAAAAAATAAAATAAATTAATGTATACAGCAAAAAAAATATACAAAATACAAAAGTGATATGTACTTTAAAAATGAGACAAAAATGGAGAAAGAGAACAGGGCTATATGAATAACCTGTCCATATTTGATTGGAGTTAATAAAGTATAAATCTAAAATAGATTATAAGACTCACTATGTAAGTCCTAAAGGAACTACCAGGAAAATAAAATGAAATGATCATTGGAAGAATTAAAACGTTAAATAAATTCATTTCATGCAAAAGGCAGAAATAAAACAGAGTGATTCAAAAGTTGTAAGATAGAAAACAAAAAGTAAAATGGTAGCTATAAATTCAACTGTACAAAACATTTTGTACATTCTAAGTCATCCCTCAGAATCCCTAAGAATTCAGATACAAAAATTTGTGCATGCTCATGTCCCTTATATAAAAGGGCTTAGTATTTATATATAATAGACATCCTCCCATATGCTTTAAAACATTACTAAACTGCATATAGTATATAATCAGTGAAAATGCTATGTAAATAGTCACCAATTTGTACTGTTCAGGGGATAATGAAAAGGAAAAGTTTGTACATATTCAGTACAGACATGATTTTTTCCCCTACTTTTGACTGATGGTTTGTTAAACTCATGGATGCAGAATTCACTGATATAGAGGACCAAATGTAGATCAATAATAACCAAAAAATAGAAATTGATTTTAAAATTCAATCAAAAGATAGAAATTCTCAGGTTGTAAAAATCCAAATACAAACTGCCAATAAAAGATGTATTTTAGATTCAAAGAC